ATATATTTGTAAGTGTTTTACGGCGCTCGCAATTGCATAATGAGGTAATTTGAGCGCGAGGGACACACTACATTTTCAGCTTGTATGAAATTTTGAATTTGGCCCAGGTGGAGGCCGAAGCCTTCTCTTATCGATTTTAGACCAAGAAGGCAGAGGCAGCTCGTGGGGCTAAAAAGTGGACGTGCACAATTAAGCTATCGCAAGCTGAAGATAGTCAAGGGCATAGTAAATTAGACCTTTGTATAATTTTAAGATTTGGATTGGTAAGGGAGGACCTTGTGCTTGTATTTTCATTCTTTTTACTTGTCGCTTTAATTTCTAGTATTAAATTTGTTTGTTACCTAAATATCACTTTCGTTCATCCTGTATTGGAACTCAACACTCAAGTAATAACTTTCACCACTCCACTACAAAACCATTCAAAGGCAAAACTCATAGGACGGTCACGTTCACCTCCCTCAGGTTCACGGTCACAGAGTCACTTAAAATAGTGGCAAGACAGACAATGAATCAATCACAATTCACTTGAGCACTCCGATGGATTGCTCCGGGTTCACATAATATTGGCAAAGAATAGCGTACGGTCTATCGCTTTTGTCTTTAGACTGCCGACTGTGGGCTATGTTTCGGCACTATTCGACAGGAGCACTTTTGAGATGTGCCGTCTTATTAATATTAATGTACCAACAAACTCGATATGAGTGTTGTCATCGTTTGGGTTATCCCCAAGAGCGATTTATTAGTCAGGTTACACTGTTGAGTATCCTATTATGTTTAGCTAAAGCGCGTGGATTTTGACATGGCATAGTAGATGTTTTACAGCGCTATAAGCACAGAAATGACAGTTATGGTGCCAGTGAGGACCTTGTTTTGATATAATATTTGATTAGTGTTTGTTTCTGGCTTCTTTTATTTTATTATTGTGGGTGTTTCACGTAATAAAACATTTTAAAAATGTTGGGCGGCACTGCACGACCGTGCTCTATGGACGAGTCGCGCCTGCACGAAGGGATCTTTAACGTGTGTAACCTGCACACGGGACCTCCGAGATTTTTCGCCCTTTTCAGAGAAGGTTAGCTGTAGATCTTTCCTACCAGAAGATCAGGGGTGTGGCTGAAAGACAGCAGTAAGAAGGAGCTAAGAAGTGGAAGTAGAAAGGCAGCAGAAAGAGTCAGGAGCCCAAACGAGGGGACCAAGGAGATGAGGGGGGTTGGGGCAGAAAACGGAGCTGAAAGCAGTCGACAGAACATTGCTAGAAAGGAGGTGGAAGGTGACAGTTTTAGAGAAAAACATTTTCCCGTCGCTTTTCGGATTCGAACCCAGGACCTTTAAATGAGAAGCGAACACCTTAACCTCTAAGCCACGAGAGCCCCTGTAAATGATCTAAATTGTGTCGATATAGGGGCGTATGAGCTCTACGTTTTGATCGTTATTGTATTTTTTTTTTAATTAAAAAAATAATGAAACTTACAAGATCAATGTTGAACATGTCTGATTTTCATTGGTTAAAAATTCCGTA